TGGCCCTGTGCCTCTTCCTGCTGACCCTTCCAGTCCCCACCAGGTGATGCTGGTGGCATCTGCCACACACTTTCCTGAGCAATTTTCAGGTGACTATCCCACCTAGTTGACATTGCCTTCACAGTTGCTGAAACTGATGGGGACCAGATTTTGGCCTCGACCCTGACACTGGAGCTGTAGCGGTTCTGGGTGACATCTCTAGTCATCCTGGGGGTCAAACTGAGTCTGATTATATAGTCACTAGATCTTTGGGGTCTCCGAAGAGGGTGATCTCACCTCATGTCTCTGAGTGAAGACCTGCTTAATCCTTACCTCAATTTGAGTCTAGGGCCCCATGCAGTTGTGCTACTGTGAGACTGTTTATCTAGTCCGTGGACTGCTAGGGTTCAATCGGCATCCTTATCAGGGGTCACTTATGATACCCAGGCCACGGCCCATAAGGATATTTAATTAAGTTCTGCAACCCACAGTCAACATGAAGTCATGTCTGTGCAAGGGGATTTCTGGTAGCCGGCACACTTGTACCTAAGACAGACGCAAACATCATCAACGAACAAAGTCTATTTTCTGCAGGGCAAAAACAAAATGGTGAAGCCCAACAATTTCCTCCACTTTCTCAAAGGTCCCCATTTTTTAAAAATTGGTTTCAGTCTTTCATGCGGATTTACTGGCTCTCTGTGTGGAGTGGAGTTTCCCCTCCATCTACTGCAAGTATTGTGAACAGTGCCTCCTGGTCTCGCATCATATTCTGACCGGGTTCATGGTGTCTCTTGCAATTTTTCATTTCTAATGTCAAATAGCTTGGACTTTCTTCTGTGGGTTCTGGTATTTCTCTCTTGAGTAGAAAGATTTCCTCAAAGGAATGTTATTACTATTATTTAGTTATTTTTATTTATTTTAAAGGAATGTTATTTTTGACGTTTCATCCAGTATGTTGGTAGTTTTTTCTTTCTCATTTACATTTAGATCCCTTTAGGACTGAATGTTGATTGGTTAGAAGCATTTTGCTGCTTCCTCTTCTTCCTCTCCTTCAAGTAGGATATCTTTAAGAGGAAACTACCACAGTCAAAAAGCAACACACCCTTTTTTGTGCCTTCAAAGGAGCCTCCAGTGCAGACAGGAAATGACCCCACCCTCCTCCGCACAAAGTCCCAGGCATAAGTTAGGGGACCCAGTGGGAAGGGGCTGGAGGGAGCCTGGTCGGACACCCAGACCAGGCCTGGCCTCCCTGGGGGCATCAAGGGTTTGGGAATGCCCTTCTCAAGGCTTGGGCATTATTCAGACTTTAGCTGGAACCCATGTTTTTCCACAGTTCTCGCCTCCTCTTTCTCCTCCTATAAAAATATCGTGGCAGGAGTAAGGAGACATGAGGGAATACAGGTGCTTCCTGCTACTTGACATTGGACAGACTGAACCTGGAAACCTTTTGTAAACCTAGTTGGCTTAGAACCCAGAGCATTTAGGTCTTACAAAGTTCAGTGATCTTTTGGAAAGTGGGAGATGCCTGTAAATGCAAACACTCAGAAGTGTGATAGAGCTCCCAAAAGTCTGTTCTGTGACGCAGCTGGTGTGACATCTGTGCCAGACTTATCTGTTCTTTGCCGGAAACAGCTTTTCATCAAGACACACAAGAAAAAGAAAGGGAATTACTTGACCGCACGTGAGACAGGGGTTGTGCTGTGTCATGGAGGAGCTGGTTGCTTCCTGTCTAAGTGCTGGGTCCCACCACCCATATTTTAGCCTGGCTGCACCTTGGAAGGTGCCCGAGGCCCTGGAGCAGGAAGTGCAGTGGAGAAAATCAACACAAGCAGAAGCACAACTAGGAAAGCCCAACCTGCAAGGGGAGCAGGGAGAGCCCCTGGGGCAGCAGCAGGGGCGGGGCCTGGGGGCGGGGCCTCCAGGACAGGTAACCTGTCAGGTGGTGAGGAGGGGGAGGCCTTCCAGGGGAGGGAGCGGTGCAGAGCAAAGACCACAAACACAGCCAGCCTTATCCTGGGCTCTCATTACACCTGTCAGGACCTTTACTCTCATTTCAGTCAGGGCCCAGGAGAAGTAGTTGAAAACTGCCCTTTTGCCATCTTAAAAATTGCCAAAATGTCACCAACATTTGCTTTCTTTCCTCACCTCCCAAGGCAAGGTTGTCACAAACACAAAGACTTCTGTCTATGTAAAGATCTGCTCTAAAAGAAAATAATGGACTGGCAAGACACAGGATGGACAATATCCTATATTTTGAATGTGAATAAAAATTGGCACAATTTTTTTGCATAAGTGCCTCAAAATGAAAAATCATTAGATGTCCAACCCTCTGACCCAGTCATTCTATTTCTAGAAATACCTTAAAGAAATAATCTCAAACGCAGGCAAAGTTTTATACAAGAAGAGTGTCCTTTGCACTATTATTTACCTATACAATTAGAAACCGAAGCTACAACAGTTAGGGGAGGACAGCAGATGGCACCGGGCACCCTCAGTGGAGCTCAGCAGCTCCGGCGGGACCTCAGGAATTGCACCTGGGCCCAGTGGGACCACAGGATCTTGTGATATGAAGGACCTTGCAAAGCAAGGAGGGCATGGGCTTTGGAAAACTGTAGCACCAGGAAATTCATCCAGGCAGAAACTTGAGCACAGTGTGCAAGACATAATTTTGGATTCTTTTCAATTATAGCTTCTTACAAAAAACTGAATACAGTTCCCTCTGCTGTAGAGGAGGTCCTTGTTGTTTATCTGTTATATACTTAGTAATGTGTTTCTATTAATCCCAAACTCCAAAGGTATAATTGATGCAGAAAATCAGATGTGGGACGTGAAGAGTGCTGAGTCCCAGGTCTCCGATGAGCCCTTGGGACGTGTTCCGCCAAGTGTGGGTCCTTGGCTTCGCACAGGAAAGAATTCAAGTGTGAGCCACCGCTGAGTAAAGGTAGATTTGTTTAGAGAGCTATGTACTGCATGGTGTGCAAGGCAAGAGAAAGGCAAGGAAAGAGATGTATGAATCGGGTACTCAGGTTAAGAAAAAAGTAGGCACACACTCCATAGACAGAGTGCGGGCTGTCTCCAAAGGGGAGAGAGAGTGCAAAGGGCCACTAGGCTGGGTGGTGTCACTTCTTATGGTCTCAGTAGTTTCACATACCTACAGGTGGGATCCAACTGCCCTGGGGAACGGGCTAGGATTCCCAGGGGTTGGGCCACCGCCCATTCTTTGGCCTTTTGCAGTTAGCCTTGGGGCTGTCATGGTGCATGCGGGCATGTTATAAGATCACGCTGTTACACTCAGCACATAAAGAAGATCAAGGTCAGCTAGAAGTTAAACCACTTAATCCTCAAGGCCAAGTAGAAGGTGAATCTTCCACAATTTTTGTTGCTGTCATTGCTTGAGTGGCTGTGCGCTGACCCCTTCTCTACTGTCTTACAATGGAAAAGAATCTGAAAATATGGACATATATGTATGTGTATGTATAACAGAGTGGCTTTGCTGTACTCCTGAAACTAACATTGTAAATCAACTACACATCAATTTAACAAAAGCAAGTTGTAAAAATAAGATTCCTAACCCCCTCTCCCCCGCCATGCTGTATGAATGTTTTTCATTTATTTCTCATATGTACTATAATTATTCTAATATAACTCGAATCTATGTATTGATCACATACGAACCTCTGCTCAAGGAGCTCCAGGGGAACTGGGATACAGACACATGAAAACTAACACCCAGCGTAACTGTGGGAATAGCTCAGAGATGCAGAAAGCAGTAAGTACAACCGCTTTGGAAAACTGTCTACCAGTGCGAGCTCCAGTGTTGTAGGTACCTTGGGAGCTAGCAGGCCCACATCCGGGGAAATATCCAGCAGAAACAGTGCACAAGTCCACACAAAAGATCTGCACCAGCATTTCCATGGCAGCTTTATTTATAATAGACCCCAAATTGAAGCACCTCAAATATGTATTCAGGGAACAGATCAATAAAAGGTAGTGAATTCATCAAATAGAATACCTCGGAGAAGAGTGTACACTGTGTGACCCCATTTCTATAAAAGTTAAAAACAGGCAAGTTAATGCAGTGTGGTAGAAGTGAGCATTGCGATTACCTTTGGGTGGCACAATACTGCCCGGGAAGAAGGAACAGGAGAATTTGGAGGAGCTGCTGGGATGTTTGATTTCTTGATGTGGCTGCTGGTTACAGAATTAACATAGGTAAATCTAATCCAGGTGTACCCTGAAGACTTGTGCCCTTTGCTGCAGGCAATTTATATCTCAGTAAAGTAAGTTTATATAAAAAAGACAATTTTGGAATGAGAAGAGTCATTTACCAATAAGCATATATCCATGAATAAATGTTATCGGTCATTAAAGGAAGTAGAGCACAGTCATCATAATTGGGGGATCTGGGTCAGAAAGCCTTGGGTTCAAGTTCGGGCTGCAGCACCAGTGGGAAAACTTGGGCTAAGCTCAGTTTAGGTGAGTTTCTGCAGTTCTGCGCGTCATAGACCCTGGAGCAGTATTAACTATTACCAAGTAGTTACCACAGCTGCTCCCACCCTCACGTAATTTGCAGAGTATTCCCTTCCTATCTGTTCTTCTGTGTTTGCTTTTATTGCTTCTACAACTTCCCAGGTGCCCATCTATTGTCTGAATAACCTCTCCTTGGGCCCCAACAGGACAACAGGACCCTGACTTGGCTGGGAGGGAGCTGCATGATGTGAGGAACTTTCCCTGAAGAGCCACCAGCACAGCCCAGTAGACAGAGAAAGACGTTGGGTTGAGTCCACTGGTGCTGGTGGCCATCCCTGGGGAAATGGCCAGACCAGGCTCTTGGCTGCCCCATGTTGCCAGGGCTCACTCATGTTCTGGTCCACAATCTGTCTTCTCTTCCCCAAGGGTGAAGCCACACCTCCTTCGAGCCTGATGCAGATTGGTGAGCTGAAGTGACGAGGCTGACACCCCGCTGCTGGCACCATGACGTCAATAGGCATCCTTTACTGCCCAGGTAGTTAGCTGCCCCTTCTCTGGCTGCTTCCTCCTTGTGCCCTAGAATGAGGGCGGTGTTTCCAGGCTGAGTTAACCTACAGAGGAATCAAGACCCAAGAAGGTGTTGACAGGCATCTTTGAGGCCTCAAGAGGGGCTGAATGGAGTCCCTCACACCAAAGGGATCTTTCCTCACAGCCTCCTTCTGGGCCTTCTCCTCAGGGGGCCACAGCTAAGGTGCTCACTCCCTCCCTCCCCCACCACACAGCAGATACTATGGGTGGGACAGGGGAAGCCCTGGAAAGGAGGTGAGAGTAGCGTGGGGCATCCCGAGGCCAGGGAGGTGAAGAGAGAGGAGGTAGACCAGCAACACTGGAGGCTTCTCCGCCCCCTCCCTTTCTCCAGAATCCTCCTGTTCCCAGACCCTGGGCTCTTACCATAGAAATCCTTTCCTCAAGCTCTGCTGCCAACCCCACCTCTCCACCAGGTTCAGCAGTCCCTTGAATGGAACTCCAGTCTGGCTTTTGCCACTTGCCACCTGTGTGACCTGGAGCGCCTTCCCTGACATCCCCTGTAAAATGAGAATGATATTCCCTCATGTCCTGAGGATCACACATAATGTAGGTCTGTGGCTGGTCCAGTGCCTGCCCCGGAGCAGTTCCTCCTGAGTGTTGTTGCTGTCCCTATTTGTCGTATTTGGAACCTACATGCACCCCAGAATTCTGACCCCCACCCCCATGGTTCCCTTAGGGCACCTGTTCACCAGGCGGGACTGCCTCAGGCAGGTAGTGATTCCTTTGCCCTCAGATCCCCCTGCAGACACCCAGGTACTCAGGCTACTTTCCCCCACCCCCTCTCACCCCAATCAATCAACACACAGATTTAGTGCTGTGAGCTCCCCCCCACGGAAGCCCTGGTTTCCTTTCACCCTTAGTGACGCAGGAGAGAGAAAACACTTAGCAACTCTCCACACACCCTAATCAGCACTGTGTTTCCTTGGCTCCTGTTTTCTAAGGACCAGTTTGCTTCCATGACTGCATTGTTAAGCAACCAATTGACATCCTCCCAGGAGCTGCCCAGGAGAGCAAAGTGGCCCAGTGGAAACATAAGGGAGGGGGTGCAGAGTAGAAGCCAGGGGCCCCCCAGCCGGCTCTGGGGCCCGTGAGGGAGGCCGGGCTGCAGGAGCCCTGAGGATCAGCTCTCCTCAGAATCAAGACGGTCTCCTGTGTATAAACGGGCCAGCTGGGCTGAGTGGAGCCAGTGGGAGCTGTGTCCCCTGGGACCAGCCTGGGGGACAGAGAGGTGACAGGGATGGATCACAGGCTCAGAGCTGAGGTCTCGCCCCTCATGCCCCTGAGGAAGCCCCTCCCCGCCCGACCTGGCGTCTGTGACTCGTGGGAGGAGTCTCTCACCTGATACTTTGACTCAGCGCTCTGGATTCTGAGACTTTTTTTTTATTGAAGTCACATCGGTTTATGGGATCACGTAAGATTCATGTGTACAATATTTCTATTCCTGTATCCACTGCAGTGTGCTCACCGCCACAAACAGGTTGCAAAGAGTCCCCACAGATACGCCGTAGGGGAGAATGCAGACATCACAGGGGGGTTTAAAACGTAAGGAGGCTTCAAAGTAATGTCAGAAGAATCCCCGAGACTTTCAACCTCTGGGCTTTCTGCGTGCTGGCCTTGGGCGGTCACTACCCTGTCTAGTCTCACTTTCTTCTTCTGCGAAGTAGGAATAATGACTCTTTGAGGGAATGCTATTCAAAGCGCATTTTCCATTCTGTCGCAGGCCACATGTAAACACGTACTAGTCCCCAGTCTGTTATCAGCAATTTCATAACCTCCAAATCCCTGAAAACCACACATGTTTTGGTAACTCATTTGGACAATAATCTTGCCCTGTGCTGACCTGAGGCTCTTTATAATCATTAAATTCTGTGTATCACGTAATGTGTATATTTATTGGTTTCCCTGTTACAGTATGAACGCATTTCTATATAGCTACTGCCCAGACGCTGCTGTAAATTATAATTAATATAGCTTATGTGCCCTGTATTTATTCTCTTTCTAAAGGATTAAAAAATTTTAATTCCTAAACTCATCTAAATGCCAGGGATTAGGTAGTTAGATCTGGAGGCTGGAAGTCCAAGATACAGGAGCTGGCAGGTCTGGTTTCTGCTGAGCCCTCATTCCTCGGTGGAAACACCTGCTGCCTTCTGGTCCTGCTCTCACACAGCCTTCCCTCAGCGTGGAGAGAGAGAGAGAGAGAGAGAGACAGAGGACTGGCATTTCTCCTGCATCCTACATGGACACCGTCATATTCGATTAGGTCCCCACACTTATGACCTCTTTTGACCATAATTACTTGTTTAAAATTCCTATCTTTAAATACAATCACTTAGGGGCTCAGGGTTTGAACATATGAATTTGTGGGGGACCCAGATGTTCCCATAGCACTGGTGACTCCATCAACAGTTCCCAGGGGAGCGCTGCTCAGGAAGATGAAGTGCAACCACTTTATACTCAATACCATTTATGTTCCACCACAATTTCTCCTAATCTTTTTCTCCTTTCTTCCCATCTAGATAACGAGAGCTTCTTTGAGGCTGTCATCGAATCTCTCTGGGACATACTTAGCAGAGAGGAACTGCTTCACCTGCTGACTGAAGTCCTAAATAGATTTGAGGCTGAGGAGAATTTGTCCAGGTAACCTGCACGGGTGCCCCAAGGATGTCACCCAAACCACCTCCCTCGGCTATTTTCCACTGATAGGCACACCTCCTCCAGGCAGTATCCTAGGGTTGGGGTGGAGGATGTTCCTTCTCAAAAATCCATGAGGACTTTTTCTTCCATGTCATTTACTGGCAGTGGACGTTCTCGGGTAAGAAGAGATGAAATTGCAAGGAAGGGGCAGGTTATTGACCTTGGACTTAACTACTCTCTGCCTTAGTTTCTTCATTGCTTAATTGTATCATGAGGAAACTGAGATAACACATGCCAAGCGCTTAGCAGAATGGCTGTTATGTAGTAGGTGCTCAGTTCATGTTAACTTTGAAAAAGGTTGTTATGAAGAATCCAAGGCCAAGGGTCTTGATCCTGGAGATGAGAACCAAACAGGACTCCCTTTGGGATGACTCAGAAAATTGATGACACCATCAGTTTGTTTCCTGGGGCTTCTGGCTGGAGCCTCTGTATCAGATACTGCAGGACCCGGGGCCCCTAGGGCAGGGAGTCCTGGGGGGAATTGGATGGAGCTGGGATGGGTCCTGGCTCTATCCCGGCCCAGCTGTGGGTCTCCAGACTGACATCCTGGATCTCAGATTTGTCATCTGTACAAAGGGAGAAGCAGTTCCATCCAATAGACCGTGCTGATGGCCTTAGAATGAACCCCGTGGTCACAGGTGGGGAACCAAGTTCACGCGTCTTGTGCAAAGCTCTAGGGAGGCCTGGACCACGGTCAGAGCCAGGGCTCAGGATGGAGCAGAGGGATCCAGGTTGGGGAAGTAGTAGGGAGACGTGGGTAGTGGGGCCAGGACCAGAGTGAGGGGAGTGGCCCATAGGACACAAAGCTGAAGGGGCTGTCAACCCGCAGAGGTGCCGTGAGTGGGACAGGGGACATTTCCTCCCTCCCACAATTGATCCCCTTGTGCTGGGCATAGAGGGCCCGGGTTACTGTGTCCTCCACACCCTGCCTGGGGCTGAGAGTCTCCACTGCCATGTGGGACCCTCTTCTACTCTACATAGAGTACCCTGACCCATCAGAATGCAGTGTGGCTTAGTGACGACTCCACTGTCAGAATGAGTAGCTGCCAATTTTGTGTAAATTGTGGGACTCTGAGGAGAATCTTGTCCCAACAAAGAGGAAAATACTTTCTCCACCAGCTCGTCCAAATGCAGGCCTTTCAGATTGAGCTATTCGTATGGATGTTTCTTAAAGTCTTTGAATCTTTTAGATGGTCTGAAAAGTTGCACATGACCTTAGTATGCAGGTACCTGAAGGTGTCACTAGCTAAGTTGTGAGTTACACTGGTGACACCTAAGAGGTCAGAGGTGCTGGGTGGCAGGTCGAGTCAGTGAGGGGGGCTAGAGAGTTCAATGGGAACCAGGCTTAGTAGCCTCTCTCCTGCTTCCCAGTCAGTTGGGAAAGTGGATGGACCCAGGGACCTTCAACTGGGAAGGTCAAAGGCATAAGGGTTGGAAGGGAGCATAGGTCAGGGGTAGTGAACACTAGGGTCCCTTCTAGCTGTGAGTTTTGCATCTTAAAACAAATTCTATGTTCTTGGTGTTAGTGAAACTGCAAAGTCTGAGTGCACAGTCCCCAGATTGTTCTTACACTTGACAGCGATGACAAATTTGGAGGATGCCCCAAACCAACCTCAGGTTGGAGAATTCTCGAGAAGGATGCACAGAACTCCCTGACACCTGGCACACTCCCAGGTCCAGATTAACACAGGGAAGGATGTGGGTTCCCAGCAGCCACAGGGCATTGTCTGGGAGGGTTTCAAACATGAAGCTTCTCTTGTCCTCGGGACGCATTACTGTCCTGTGTTCAGGGCACACGGGTCAGTGCCAATTAGGGATGCCCACTGTGTTTAACAAAACGCTCCTGACAGTCCTTAACGTGATAAAGCAGGGTACACTCAGGACAATGGTGACACGTGTGGAGCCCGTTGCTGTAGAGCAGACACAATGGGCTCAAGCCCTAATACAGCACAGACTCGGGATTTATAGCCAAGGAGCAGAGTGAGGGGTGGTGGAGGGAAAATTACTGAGAGGAGACACCAAGCGGAGGGGACTCCTCTTAAACTTTCCTAACAGGATTCTCGCTAAAGGCAGGTCAAGGAAGGATGCCTCAAAGGTGGGAGACGAGGAATTTGATCAGGTATCAAACGCGATCAGACTGCAGAGTGGGGGAGACTCACTATGTGGATTTAGCAGGGTTCTTGCTGAGACTGGGTGATAGGGGCCATCGGGGACAGGACAGGGAAGGGGAAGGTGTAGACCTGCTTGAGAAGAGGACTCAGAAGAGCCTGACCAAAGTTTGGTGAAGGAGAGAGTCTCAGGCACCCCGAGCCTAAGTGCACAGTGTCCTCCTGAGGCTCAATCACATGCTGCCCGCCTGGCTGACCTGTATCTCCAGCCCCTCCCAGAGGTCAGACCAGCGCCCTTGTGTCCACTTCCCCCAGAGGCCAGGACTGACACCACATGACCCAGATGCCCATCACCCGTCACTCCGGCAAACTGCCCTGTTGCCAGAGGCCCAGGCAAACCAAGGCTCTCCTGTCAGCCAGAACATTCTAGGGGCTTAGGAATTATGTCCTTAGCCAAGGGCAAAAGCAGGTTGATTCCTCACTGCACCCTAAGCTTCTTTGAATGAAAGCTTCTCTGCTCCAGTCCCACCTCTGTTTGTTTCTCTGCGGAGCTCCCGCTCTACAAGCACCTTGGAGGTGGCGGTGTTGACCTGCCTCTGAGTCAGAATGTGTCTTACCAAACACGTATCACTTAAGAGTATCCCAAGATGACTTAAGTTTTTACTCCCTGTTTCAACAAGTATAATGGAGCCTCCACAATGTACAAAACGTGTTAATGTCAAAAGAAAATTTTATATTTGTAAAAATCTTTTCCTTTGGTTTATAGTAAAATCTCTGTAATTTATGCAGGATGAATCTTTTTCAGTTTATTTTACAGGGACCCCCAAACTGCCTTCTTAACCCCTTGGCCTTCACTGTTACAGGGAAGAGGCAGACGCACTGCGTGAATACCTGATCGAGCTGAATGCCGAGTCGGTCCGGAAAGGCCAAGACAGGCTCCAAATAGACCAGCTGGACAGGGAGAGGTATTGGGAGAGGATTTTGAAGGGCTTCCCTCAGATGAAGCGTGATATTGAGGAAAGCATAGGAAAGCTCCGTGCACTTGCAGACAAGGTGGGCAAGGTTCACAGGGACTGTACCATCTCCCAGGTGGCAGCTGCCTCTACTGGTGCTGTGTCTGGCATCCTGGCCATCCTTGGCCTGGCTCTGGCCCCTGTGACAGCAGGGGTTGGTCTTGTACTCTCGGCAACTGGGTTAGGGCTGGGGGCCGCAGCAACTGTGACCAGTGTGACCACTGGTGTCGTAGATTATGTCAGCAGGTCATCAGCAGAAAAGAAAGCCAGTTACCTGATGTCACCTGCTGTCAACAAATGGAAAATGGTCAAGGAGGTTCTACAATATTGCATGCCTCAAATGGATTCCACAGCAAAGAACCTCAAAAAAGCTGTGCAACGCGTTGAAAATAATATCTCTGCCATCGAGGAGGTCAGAGGCAACCCTGGCTTTCTGAAATCTCTGTTGGAATTCCTGACCACTGGGAAAACTACAGTCCGAACTGGCAGGCAGATTCCAGAAGTTCTTAGAGTCACAGGTCAGGCAATGAGCAGAGGAGCCCGGATCATGGGTTTCGCCATGGCAAGTGTCTCCCTTCTGATAGATGTGGGCCTCCTAGTGAAGGAGTCAAAGCACCTGCGTGAGGGGGCAAAGGCACAGTCCGCTGAACGGCTAAGGCAGTGGGCCCGGGAGCTGGAGGAGAGGTTGGAGGAGCTCGCCCGGACCTACGAGAGTCTGCAGCAGGGCCTGTCTTCCCCCCCGCTCCCACAGAGCAGTGCAGGCAGCAGGGGCCCACGTGGGGCCAAAAATGC